TCTTTCATAGAGGATGGTGTTGAGCCAGTGCATAAATTGTGGGAATTAGACAGAATTGGAATAAATGTAAATGAAGAAAGTCCAGACGATTCTTTTACTCAAGAACAATACCTGAGAGACGTAAAATTTGAATCTGGACAATACTGGGTACGACTTCCGTGGAGACTGAACCATCCAGAATTGCCGACTAATTACAGAATGGCATATGGACAATAAAAGGCTCAGCTCCGCGAACTGAGTAAGACACCAGAATTGTTAACTGCCTATAATGATATAATTGCTGAACAATTAATTAATAAATTTATAGAAGAGGTACCTCCTGAGCAAGCCAAAATTTATGGTCACTATTTGCCCCATCACGGAGTGAAGAAGGATTCTAAGACCACTCCTTTGAGGATTGTGTTTAATTGTAGTGCCAGGAGTAACAAAAATGTACCTAGTTTAAATGACTGTTTGATGACAGGTCCGTCGTTGACGGAAAAATTAGGAGATATCTTATTAAATTTCAGAGTGAAGCACTATGCCTTTACGGCTGACATAAGTAAAGCTTTCCTAAGAGTGGGTTTACAAGAGGCTGACCGGGATTGTACCCGCTTCTTATGGCCTGAGAACCCTAGTGACCCACTTAGGCCTCTGAAAACCTTTCGCTTTAGGAGCGTATTATTTGGTGCTACATCCAGTCTGTTCCTACTTCAAGCGACGATAAATGCACACCTTAAACGTATGGAAAGTCCATTGAGTAAAGTAATGAGCAAACAATTTTATGTGGACAATTTCCTGGGTGTGACGTCAACTGAAGAGGAACTGTTAATGACTTATGGAGAGGCTAATAAAATAATGCAAAGTGCAAATATGCCTCTGAGGGAATGGAATAGTAATTCGTCCAAATTAAAGGACAAAATAAGTAAAGATTACCCTGGAGATGAAGTGCCAAAATGTAGTAATGTATTGGGTTTAACTTGGGATACTGAAAGAGATTCATTAATGTTAAAACCTAATAATTACAGTATGCCCAATAAATTAACTAAGAGAGTTTTGCATGCTGAAGTTTCCAAATGTTTTGATCCACTAGGTTTAGTGTCACCCCTTACTGTAAGAGGGAAATGATTAATTCAGGAAGCATGGAAACTTAAATGTGCTTGGGATGAAATTCTACCTGGGGAATTCATTAACAGGTGGGATGAATTAATTGGTGATTATGAGAAAATTCCAATGTTGGAGTTCCCATGCCAGGTGGCCAATCCAAATGGGAAAAATGTACTCCACATTTTTTGTGATGCTTCAAAATTGGCATATGGAGCAGTTGCTTACCTTCAATGTAATAGTGTTATTTCTCTTGTTATGTCTAAGGCTAAAGTGTCTCCAATTAAATCACATACTTTACCTCAGTTGGAATTAACAGCCATTTATGTAGGTGTCAAATTAGCTAATTATATAAGAAATAAGTTGCAGGAGATAAATATTAGCGACACTGTAATTTGGTCTGATAATGAGGTATCCTTACAATGGATTCGTAATGGAAACAGCAAAATTATGTATGTACAAAAGAGTCGCTGAAATTAATCAGATGCAAGAGAAGTATAATAGTTTGGGTCAGCATATGTTAACCTTTAATCATATACCAGGTGAGGAGAATCCAACCGATTTCTTGTCTAGAGGTTTACCTTATGCTAAATTTGTAAATGCTGTATCATGGTTTAAAGGACTGAGTTGGTTGGTAAATAAAGCTAATTGGCCTGTACAAAAGGCGTATATTGCTCCTGTTGAAATTATTGTGACCACCGCTCCAATCGTTTGTCCTTCCTTAGCCATTGATATAAATAGGTATTCTTCTTTACCCAAACTAATCAATGTAACTAAGTTGGTGTTTAAATTTCTAAACAAGATGAATATTTCATTTAAGTTTTCACATCCTCTTGAATATTGGATAAAGAGGGTACAGGAGGAAATCTATGGAAATGAGATTAAATTGATGATAGAAAGAAAATTTGTGAAAGGTTCCATAATAGAGAAATTGGGGCTGTATTTAGAGAACAATGTAATTAGGTGCAGAGGTAGGTTACAAAATGCTGAATTGGGTGATTATGCTAAACACCCTATCTTACTGCACAAAACTCATCATCTAACAAATTTGATTGTTCTAAATGCCCATAAAAATATAATGCATGGTGGGGTACAAGATACCTTAAATTGTATTAGGGAAACTTTCTGGATTTCACAAGGACGGCAAAGTGTAAAAAGGGTGATTAAATCTTGTGTAATATGTTGCCGTGTGGATGCCAGATCCTATATGTACCCAGGTCCTCCACCGTTACTAAATCAGCAATTTGAGTCGTTTTGCAACAACCTCCGCCTGGCCGCAGTATGGAAAATACTGTATATTTTTCGGAAATACGGTAATTTATAGGTAAATAGATGCCCTATGTTGTATTTTTAAAAGAAGTATGTTATCGAAAATGGGAAACTGGACCTGCGCCTGTGCAGACAGGAGACTCGCCATCTTGGTTTTGATTTTGTACAAACTTTGGCGTAATGGGAAGAATTTTTCGTGCTCTAGAGGTTAAAATTGTGTTGACACCTCTCAAATAGGAGGCGAAATTGTTGGATGTGCATTCCTGCATAACTTGAGATATCAGACGACTGGACAAGACAGCTCCAGGAACCTCAGATAAGCTCTCTAGATTTGTGTGTAATTCTGGTAAGCGTTATTTTCATAGATTTAGTTAGAGTGAGGTTTTCTGAGTATGATACACATTAATCTCCAGTCAAATTGGTGAGTGATATTAAGATATATTTTCCTTCTGTTGTGTAATTGTGTATATATATAACCATTTATTATTTTTAATATACAGTCCACAAATTTATATATTTACTAGTATTCCTGGTGTATGTATATTTCATTTAATTAATAGGTCCAGAGCAAATTGTGGTTACGACAGTGGTAGGTATCGAAGGGGGACATTTTTTGCGACCTAGGTGTCCCAAATTCCTACTTGTCTATGTAACATTGATAAATAATAATTATCTTTGTTATCATTTACTGTTATGTACATACATTCAGATAAATGCAATTTTCCACAACGGATAAGAATAAAGAAAAATGGCACCTACACATGCGGCAACAAGGTAATTCGATATCTTCATTATGTACCCCATACCCATCCTGTGGGCGGTAGTCAAAAGATTACAGTGGCACATAATGGGTCCAGGGACTCGGCCCGCAAAGTTTTGATAGCTGAACAAGTTACAGTGGTAATGTACTGTTTACATGTTTATATCTGGTGACCATCGTTATGAGTTCCTTATGCAGACATGAATTAGGTCACGCAAACGCAATCAACGAGGTAGGAGAGAGAATAAAAAGCAGCATTAATTGGTGGTGCGAATATAGGCCAGAATTTGCAGTCTAATTTTTCGAGAAGGAAAAGCTTTTGAACGAACGTTTAAGAAACTGACAGATGATTAATATGAATCAACGAGTGTTAATGTTATGCCAGAGGCAGACTTCTGGCTGTGTGAGGGATGACTGTTTTGACCAGTGACTGGTGTATTGGATGGCTGGTGTGGGGGATGACTGATGTGGGGGATGATTGGTGTGGGGATGACTGATGTGGGGATGACTGGGGAATGGGAGGTAATTTGGTTAGATCTATGGAAATGGAGGACAGGAACAATTCCTCGAATCACGATCTCATCATCGACATCACGGGACCTTCCATGTGGGGTCTAGGTTGACATGCCTGTCTTCGTATCAGTTATGCTGCGTAATGAGTGTTTGATAAATATAAATCTTACTCTAACCTTCTAAACTGTTATGTACATCAGGATAGTCACGAAATAAAGATGTACAAACTCTTCCAACTAAACCCAAGACATCATATATATATATATATATATATATATATATATATATATATATATATATATATATATTTATATATATATATATATATATATATAACATATATATGTCGTGCCGAATAGGCAGAACTTGCGATCTTGGCTTAAATAGCAACGCTCATCTTGCCATATAGGACAAGTGAAAATTTGTGTATGCAATAATTTCGCCAAAATCATTCTGAAGCTAACGAAAAAAATATATTTGATTGCGTTTGTTTAGTATTAAATTATTGTAAACGTATTTAAAATATATTTAGTTGGGTTAGGCTAAAATAAATTGCTCTTGTTATAATAAGGTTAGGTAAGTTTTCTAAGATTCTTTTGGTGCAAAATTAAAAATTTTTACATTAACATTAATGAGAAAAATATATCTTTAAACGTATAAGAGAAAATTTCAGAAAGGACTCAAATTTAAATGAGTTCTTGCTAATTGACCAGTTTTACGTATTCGGCACGACATATATATATATATATATATATATATATATATATATATATATATATATATATATATATATATATATATATATATAAACAAATTATTAGTATCATTAAAAAGAACTAACTTGCAAACGTTTGACCACCTGTTTCCTTCAAAGGGAAGGGGAAAGGGTAAGTAAGTAAGTAAGGTGACTTGATGCTGACTAAGGGCTCTCGATCTGAAGAGCTGGAGCTACCTTCCTCTTCCTTCGATCAAAGACGAGTACCTACCATGCTCATGACTATACTCACGACGGGTTTAATTAAGGCTTTCCTATATAATAGAAATGAAACACCTGTCGTCATATCCACATCAGCAATCTTTAAGTATAATGTATAATGTTAATATTTATATAGTGTTAATTTGCACAGCCTCATCATGGAAATATGTGTACTGAAACTGGAGGGAATTTTGCATTTACATTATACCAAGAGTCAAGATAGTCCGAATTGCAGGTAGCGTTCTTATTGATTTTTCCTAGTATCTCTATACATGTTGTCTTACAGCCTCCTTATTCTTCTTATTGATAATAAATATCGGGAATTTCTTTGCAGGGATTTTCAGGTAATGGAATGATGTGTTCTAAATATAGAGAATGAAGAGTATGAGATTAGTTATGACCCGGGAGGAGGTGGTGGTGGGAGGTCTCTGGCAGCGTTGGCAATGGCGCCCCCTCCTCCTCCCCACTACTGCTGCTGCTGCTGCTGCTGTTGGCTGGTGTTGCTGCTGCAGCAGACGACGCGGCAGTGTCAGTGGCAACGTACGGTGGCAGGTGACACAGTGGCATGGTGCATCAAGTAAGCCACACTACCTTCTTATACTACCACTAGGGGGAAGGAGAGTTGGAGAGGCTGAGTGGTGTAACCTTCCTAGTGTTGGTCTCCACGTTGCGGCGGGACATTTGTGTTGGCCAAGTTTCAACCAGGTCGCCAATAAGAACATTTCGAGAATAAGTTCCTGATAATGGCAGTGTTTACCTACTTGAAATGGCACTTGAGGCGCTGTATATTCCCTACGGGCTTGTTGATTTCCCGTGAAAATAATAATAATTGAAATGGGAGGGAAACACGTTACATCTTCGTTCCCGGCCAGATAAGTTATTTTTTACTAAGATTTAGTGTATAGTGTACTTAGATATGGAAAAGCACGAATGTCACAATAAAAATATGTTTGTGTAAAAGTATACGGGTTTCTGGCGTACCGTGTTGATGAAATAAAGTGAGAATGTACTCTCCAGCCACTGTAGTACATTGATGGTACCTGACTGTCCTTGTGTTGATAATGTTGACACGAGGGGCGAGTCAAGTGACACATGTTGCAGAACAAGATTTTTTTATGGAGGGGGGGGACGTTAAGTTTTATTACTTTATCAAATCCCAGTAAATGCTCGCTCTCCAAGTGTGTCTTTTCTTCACTGTTTTCGGCATTGCTCCATTTGGATCCATGAGAGGAGAGGTTTGTTTACAAGGAGTGATGGAGGTGGCAATGTATGTTGTCTGTGTCAACATGTCCGTGGCTGTGTGTCAACATCTTGGCTGTGTGTCAACATCTTGGCTGTGTGTCAACATATTCGTGACTGCTTTCGTATACCAATTTCCTGTCTCTTAAACAGCTTATCCCGGTTTATTATCAAGACCTCTTAGCATTTTGTATGCCCTTATCATGCCTTCCCTGGTTCTTCCATCCTCTTGTCAGGTTCAGTTCCTCTAGTTTCTCTTCATAAATCATTCACCTTAGTTCCGAGATTAATCTTGTTGCAAATCTCTGCACTTTGGAAGTCTTCAGTTTCTTGACATGTCAGGTCCAAGATGGACCTGATATGTATATAGTGATGCTTACTGATACGTTATTCGGGTTTTGTGCGACGATATTTCCGATACTGCACTTATGCAGCCTCTGTTCCCCGATTCTGTACTTAATTTCTTATCTTTTTCCTTTGTCAGTTATCATATACTTGCATTTACTGCGGCAAATTCCAATAGCTTTTCGTTTAGCCAATCCTGTAGTTTGTTCAAGTCGAGTTGTATCCTTTCATTGTGCTCGTCGGGTTTTGTTCTCATTAATTTCAAATCGTCTACGAATAGGGATACATTGGCATATCATTCTCATACTATACCAGAAACAGTACCGGTTCCAATACCGATCTTTATAGAACCCCACTTTATAAACCTCGGATTATCACTCTTTCCTTTAGGTACTCTTCGATCCATTGTAAGTTGCATTCTCGGTTGTTCCTGCTTGCACCCATGTGCGTGCTCAACGAATTGTACTCGGAGTTGTATTTGCAGAGGTTGAGACCTAGCACCTGGTTCTGCCTCCTAGACCTAGCTAGAGTACTTGGATGAGCATCACTGACTTCTGGTCTCATGGGGCTCCATCATATTTACTATTGAAACTGTGTATTGAGTTTGCCTTGTCCAAGTCATTCAGTTTTTCAACTACACTGTGACTAAATAAATACTTCTGTACATCCGCATGTCTCAAGTTCAGCTTCCTTCAAGGGAGGTTCCTTGACGCTATTGAGGGGCTCTTGGTCTAGGGAATTGAATCTGTGCTCTGGTTCCCTGAATTGAGCCTGAATACCTTTCACCCCCACCACATTCGCTGTATAATCCTACGGGTGTAGCGCTCCCCCATAATTATAATAATATCAAGTTAAGCTTCCAACTGTGTCCCATTTATCCCAGGTCTCTTAATTGAGTCTATCCCTATCTGCCCTAACAATTCATCTTAAGATTTTGTGGGTAGTGACCATGACCTCCCTTGTCCTACTCTCCTCTAAGGTCGTCAGGCTTGCTTTATTAAACCTTTCCTCAGTGTATTTCTGTTCTGGTACTATCCTGGCTGCAAACCTTTGGAGTGTCTTCAGGCGCTTGACCGGGTGCGGGCTCCATGCCGGGGCCGTGTATTCAATGATTGGCCTAACTTATATAAGGTTCTTAAGGATTGTGTGTTCAAGTTGTCGAATGCTGTTCCGAAGTCTGTTAATCTTGCATAATACGTCTGACGTTATACAGCTTTTATGTACTTCAGGCGATATGTTTGGCGTTATATTTACTCCTAGGTACTTTTCACTAGTATTTTCGACTTCTCTCCATCCTTGCTCTACTGTGTCTGGTCTGCTTTCACCTCCAAATTACACGACCTTATATTTGTTTGGATTGCACTCTGGAAGCCACTTGTTTGACTAGTCCTGCAGTCTGTTGAGATCTCTCTAGTTCATCACTGTTCTCTCCTGTTTTTATTCTTCTCATTCGTTTTAGATCAGCATATACTGACACAGAAATGATTCCCCTCTGGTAGTTCGTTAACATATATTAGGAATAGTAGCGGTTCCAACACCAGTCCTTGTGGAATCTCACTTAATACTCTCTCCCATTCTGATGTCTCATCCCTTTGTGTTACTCTCGTTTATTCAGGTGTGTGTGTGTGTGTGTGTGTGTGTGTGTGTGTGTGTGTGTGTGTGTGTGTGTGTGTGTGTGTGTGTGTGTGTGTGTGTGTGTGTGTGTTTGTGCGCGTGTGTGTGTGTGTGTGTACGTGTGCATATGTACTCACTCACCTGTATGCAGTTAAAAGATTCGAATCTCGGCTCCTAGCCCTGCCTCTTCGTTTGTCGCTACTAGGTTTACTCCTGGCTTCGAGAGCCTTGTCGTACCTCTTCTTAAAGCTATAGTTGGATCCTGCGTCTCCCACTTCATTCTCTAGGTCGTTCCACTTCTTTACTATGACTGAAGAAATATTTCCTAAACTCCCTGTGATTGCGTTTTCAACTTCCAGCTGTGCCCTCGTGTTCCTGTTTCCGTCTATCAAGCAATCTATACTTGTCCACCCTATCAACTCCTCAGTATTTTGTTAGTTATCATACCACCCCTAATCCTTCATTCCCTTCGTGTCATCAGGTTGTTACCTAATCTCTCCTCATAGGACATACCCCTTGGCTCCGGTACTAGTCCTGCTACAAACTTCTGCGCTTTCTCCAATTTCTTGACGTGCTTGACCAGGTGTGGGTTCCATAATGCTGCTGCATACTCAGATATGGGCCTGACGCACTGTATACCGTGTCTTGAATGATTTCTTACTTAGATTTCTAAAAGCTAGTCTCTTGGTTTGCCAGACGGACATTTGCTGCAGCAGTTACTCGGTTGATGTGCGCCTCAGGAGATATGTTCGGTACAATACTCACCCCAAGGTGCTTGAGTGAGGTTTAAAGCCTTTGCCTCCTGAGCCTGTACTTCGTCTGAGTACACAAATAACCCGCACATAAAAGAGAGAAGCTTACGACGACGTTTCGGTCCGACTTGGACCATTGACACAGTCACACTCTCTTTTACGTGCGGGTTATTTGTGTATCGTTCCAGTCACGGTATTGTGCCTTTTTTGTTACTTCGTCTGAGTTCTTTGCCCTTCCCCAAACTACAAAACTTTGCACTTGCTGGGGTTAAATTCCTGTAGCCACTTGTCAGACCAGACCTGCAGCCTGTCCAGATCCATTCGTAAGGGTTCCTGATCCTCATTTGCTTGTATTCTCTTTGGTTTCATATCTGCGAACAGCGATATCTCTGACTTCATCCCTTATCTACCCATTCCTCTCCTACCTTCTGTTACTTTGTCGCAGAACTTTAGTAGGTTTGTGAGACATGATTTACCATCTTTTTAGCAATGCTGGCGGTCATTGACGAACCCACTAATTTCTAGGTTCTCCAAAACCCCTGATAATCTTCTCCTTAACCTTTTATCGTCTGTAGTTTAACGCTACCAGTCTGTCTCCTTAAAAGTTGGGACTACATTAGTTGTCTTCCACTCCGGCAGTTGCCCTGTGTTGAATGATTTGTTGAAAATTGTTGCAAGTGGCACACACAGTATCCCCTGCTCTGTCAGGACCCAGAGAGATATTATTTGGTCCCACTGTCTTCGAGGTATCAAGCTCACACAATGCTTTTTCACCTCTTCCCCTGTTGTATGTATTGTGCCTAGTGCTCTCTGGTGTGCAACTGCTTCAATTTGCTGGTAGTTTTTCTGTTTTTTTTCTGAGAATACACCCCTAAATTTCTTGCTGAGCTCTACACAGACTTCCTGTTCATTCCTTGTGAGCTCTCCTCCTTCCTCCTTCATCCTGATTACCTGATGCTTTACTGTTGTCTTCCTCCTGGTGTGGCATCAGTGTCTGGGAATTTATTTAATTTAGAATATTTATGTACTTGGTTGTGTTACTTCAGTCTTCATATACAGGTATTGTGTAAAAGGCAACTGTGCATTTATCATTGATATATTTCCGTTTTTATTATTATTTTTTTTTTATTAACACACTGGCCGATTCCCACCAAGGCAGGGTGGCCCGAAAAAGAAAAACTTTCACCATCATTCCCTCCATCACTGTCTTGCCAGAAGAGTGCTTTACACTACAGTTTTTAAACTGCAACATTAACACCCCTCCTATTTCAGTTTGTATGCACTAAACTGGGCATTTCTCAATGTGTGTATATACTGAGTTTCTTTGATATCAGTGTATTATTATTATTACAATCATAACTAAGTGCTAAACCCACAAGGGTCATATTAGTATATAGGTGGATTGTGTGACCTTAATAATTCTCGTTCATTAAGTCGGTGATAAACCTAACCAAATAATTTTAATGAGTGATGCTGCTATACAGGTGGGCCCCGCTTATACAGCAAGTTAGGTTCTGAATTACTGCTGTAAAGCAGAAATCGCTGTAAAGTGAAACAGTCTTATTTTCCCCTTTCAAGTGCATATAAAAGCCTGTTAACATGTTTACACTATCAAATATTAAGTGAG